CTCCCACCCAACAATGTCCTTTCTGTTTGCTTGTCACATCAACTTCAAGGAATTGTAGTTGTTATGTCTTCTTCCTGCCCCCTCCCCGTTTTTTTTGGTGTGTGTGTGTGTGTGTGTGTGTGAATTTATTTATTTTTAGCTCCCACCAATAAGTGAGAACATGTGGTATTTTTCTTTCTGTGCCTGACTTGTTTCACTTAATATAATTCTCTAAAGGTCCATCCATGTTGTTGGAAATGGCAGTATTTCATTCGTTTTTATAGCTGAGTAGTATTCCGTTGTGTAGATATACCACATTTTTCGTATCCACTCATTCGATGATGGATATTTGGGCTGGTTCCACGGGCTGGTTCCAACTCCTGGCTATTGTAAAGAGTGCTGCGATGAACATTGGCGAACAGGTATACCTTCGACTTGATGATTTCCATTCCTCCGGGTATATTCCCAGCAGTGGGATAGCTGGGTCATACGGTAGATCTATCTGCAATTGTTCGAGGAACCTCCATACTGTTTTCCATAGAGGCTGCACCATTTTGCAGTCCCACCAACAATGTNAGACTTGTTAGTTCTAGGCCCAGTGTTGAATAGGAATTACTAGTAGGATGAAAATTTGGAAGCCTTAATAGGTTTACTACTATTTTTCTGTTTTGTAGGGATAACTCCCTCCCCCGCCCCCAGCAAAAATGGAAGAATTTCCCTGTGAGTAGTCAACCTGAGAGCACATTGCAGTGGGTCAGCAAAAAACCTACTGATGCTCAGAAATAATAGGAATGGATTTTTCCTTGGGGAAAGAAAGAAGGGTTGGGGATGTCTTCATGGAGGCGGTGGTATTTGATCTGAGACTTTAAAGACATCTAGAGGTGTGGAATAGGAGAGAAACGGTATTTCTCAAAGTTCACAGCATAAATAAATGCAGAAATATTCAAATGCAGTACTAGTAATAATAACAATAATAATAGTATCCCACATTTGTTGACTTACTATGTGCCTGACATTTTTAAAAGTGCTTTATGTGTATTAGCTCATGTCATCCTCATAACGACTCTATGCTATAGGAATATTACTACCTTCATTTTACTGATGAGAAACTAAAGCACAGAGAGGTTAAGGAACTCACATGGTTAACAAGGGCAAAGCCAGGATTCAAACCTGGTTTGCTTCCAGAGCCTGTGCTTGTAACCATGACACAATGCTACACTGGGGGCCATTTTTGTGCTGCCTAATAACTATCAAAAACCCTCTAGGTCTTTTCTAGTTTCAAGATTCTGTGATTCTGTGTGTCCAAATTCTGCTGCCTTCCCCCATCCCAGCAAACACTGGCACCTTGCAAGGTGGATCTCTTTTTCAGTTCTCAGCCTGCTCCATCTCCTCCACAATCCCCAGGGTCATGTGGGCGATAGCTATACCCACCCACCTCATTTTTACTAACACGTGTACTTGTTTTTGTTTTATCAAGTTACAGCTCGATAAGGTATATCTACCTATCTAATTTGTCTGTTTTTTTTTGTTTGTTTGTTTTTGTTTTTTGTCTTTTGTCTTTTTCCGTGTCCGGCAATGGATCGCAACCCTCAGTGTC